TTCCTGAGTGATATGAGTGTCTTTGTTATTCATGGTAAATCTTGATGGTTTATGCTAATAGTGTGGCTTATGGTGGGTCCCTAGAGAGTTTGTGCTAACTGGCCATGCAGGAGAGACCAAAGCAAGTGATTAAGGGATTGGGGTTTGGAGCCCAACTTCCAGGGAGGGGAAGGGGGCTGGAGATTGAGTTGAACCTCATGGTCAATGATTCAGTTAATCATACCTATAAAGAAATCCCAATAAAAACGCTGAACACCAAGACTCAGGAACATGTCCCTGGTTGGCAATACTCTGCCTATTGTCACACATCAATGTACTGGGAGGGCAACTCATCCTGACTCCACAGGGAAAGGACAATGGGAGCTTTGTGTTTAGGACCCTCTCAAACCTAGCCCTATTTGTCTCCTTTTGGCTGGTTCTGATTTGAATCTTTCTGCTATAATAAAACTATAATTATATGTATAGCCCGTTCCTGAGTTCTGTGAGTCATTCCAGCAAATTATTGAACATGAAGGGGTATTGGGAACCCTAGCCAGCAGGGCAGACTGAGCATGGTTTGGGACCCCCAAGCTTGTGATTGGTATCTGAAGTGAAGGCAGTCTGGTGGGGGACTATGTTGAAGTCACTGCAACCTATAACTCCCAAATCAATTGAGCCCCAAGTTCTGTCTTACACTTCAGACTCCTATATTCATCTACTTGATTTGCTACTTGGATGTCACCTCAAATTTTAATAGGTCCAAAGTAGAATCCTTGAGTCCCACAGCACTGGTTCTTTTCCAGGGCTCAGCAAATGGTAGTACTATTCACCCATTTCTTCGGGACCCAGAGCTAGGAGCTATTCACCCATCACATGCAATCCATCAGTTACACTCAAAGTGCATCTTGACTCCATCCACTTTCTTCATGTACACTGCTACTATCCCAACTCTGACCACCCAGTATCTCTCTACCTGGTCTATATCAAATACATGAGCCTCTGAAATAGTTCCTCTGCTTCTGCTTCTCCTCCACACCCACCCTCAATCTATTTCTGAACTTTTCCTATAAGAATGCAAACCACCCTGGGTGCAGTGGCTCATGCTTTTAATCCCAGCATTTTGGGAGGCCGAGGCAGGAAGATCACTTGAGCCTAGGAGTTTGAGACCAGCCTGGGCAACATAGTGAGACCTCATCCCTATAAACAATATAAAACTTAAGTAGGTGTGGTGATGTGGGCCTGTAGTCCTAGCTACTTGGAAAGCTGAGGTGGCAGGATCACTTGAGCCCAGGAGGTCAAGGTTACAGTGAGTTGTGGTTACACCACTATATTCTACCCTGGACAACAGAGCAAGACCCTGTCTCAAAAAAAAAAAAAAGAAAGAAAGAAAAAAAAAAAGTAAGCCATATCACATCCCTACCCTGTTTAAAATCGCCTTTCTGGCCGGGCACGGTGGCTCAGCCTGTAATCCCAGCACTTTGGGAGGCTGAGGTGAGAGGATTACCTGAGTCTGGGAGTTTGAGACCAGCCTGGGCAATTTGGTGAGACCTCGTCTCTACAATAAATCACAAAAATTAGCCGGGCGTGGTGGTGTGCGTCTGTAGTTCCTACTACTTGGAAGGCTGAGGCGGAACTATCACCTAAACCCAGCAGGTTGAGGCAGTGGCTGTGAGCACACCCCTGTACTCCAGCCTGAGTGACAGAAAGAGACTTCAACCCAAAAATAAAATAAATGAAATCTCCTTTCTTACTAGAATAAAATCCAAACTAACTGGCCCATAGGTCAGTTATTGTCAGGTGCCTCCCTGCCCACCACCCTCCAGCCTCATCCTCAAAGCCTCCAAGGTCTTTGCCTCACTCTTTCCCCTCTTGGTCTTCTCTTCTCCTTGCAGCCCCTGGTTGGCTCCTTCTCATTGTCTAGGGCACACTGAGGTACAACTTCCTCCAAGAGGCCTTTCCTGACCATTCTGTCCTCATTTCTACTTCACTTTCATGCTCCTGTTTTTTCTGATGCGCTGTCCTCAGAGCACCTGACTTTGTTTGCTTGGAGGTTTGCTTGTTGTCCATACCCTTCCCATAAAAGGCAAGGCCTTTCTTCACTGCTTATTCTAAGTGCTTATAATACTGCACAGCACATAGGAGGCACTAAGTAAATATTTGCTAAGTAAATAGAAACACAAAAGGTTGGAATCACTGTTTTTACCGAAGGCAGTGAATAACGTGAGAATTTCAAGAGGGTGCTTTCAAGTCACATTCTGTGGGTGTTGGCATCTTTGGAGAGTGTCCTGGCTCCAGGCCCCTGACTACCTCTCACTCCAGAAGCACCTGGTAGCCTTTGGACTCCAAAGTCCTATCCATGCTTCCTGCTTCGAAGTTAATGTGCTTTGATGGAGTCTCACACACATTAACTTTGGGTGAACCAAGTTTTTTTTCCCTGTCTTATACTGACTGAGAGCAGAGACTCAATTCACACTCATTAATATATAAATTCAGGAATCTCTTTTGTGAAAATGCAATGTCCAATTAGGTGAGGTCTGACCTTCAGTCAAAGAGGATACCAGTTCTTTCTCATATGTTCCAGAGCCTGAGAAGGATGGCAGAGATAGGTGTTGTATATTTCTGCATTTTATTCTCTACCCCCACGTCCTCTCCCCTCCCATCCCCTTTACAGAAGACTCTTCTACATAATACCATGTCTTGCCATCTGGTTGTCCCTAGCAACCACACTAGATTGGTTTGAAACCTCAAAGAAATCACAGATGCCAGTTTCAAATTCCAACATTAATAATTGGGAGGCAACCTCACCTTGGGAGAAAAAAACAGAAGCCCTGATAAGAGACTGTCATGACTGGGCAGGCAAGAGACAAGAGAAGCATTTCCAAATACTCATATCTCCCAAATTCTGTGCATTCCCTCCCAAATGCTAGGGTTCAAAGGACTCCCAAAGATAAAACATGAGGCAAGTTGTCCTATGAGCCATCATATCCAACCTGAAGTAGGAAGACAAGTTTGTCCATTTGCAAAGCCTTGCAAGTTCTTCTTGGGTCTGCCTTGGTTGGTTTCCCCAACTGCACAAGTCCCCAGGAAAAGTCTCCTCAGGCCCATGTGCTCCTAGCCAACTTGGAAGAATCAGAGGGTAACCCTGAGGGACAAGCAAGAGTCTGGGCAGAACTTCCTGGCACTATGTCTGATGAGCTGGTTCCTGTAGCTTCAAGGCCAAAGCCATCAATGGTGGTCTGCAAGCTCTGAAGGAAAGTGGAGTCATCTGCTGTCATTTCTGGTGCTCACTGTCAGTCTCCTGGCTTCCCCCCATCTCATTTCACCAAAAGGTTACAAAGAGGTCCAGGTGTGATGGCTCACCCCTGTAATCCCAGCAGTTTGGGAGGCTGAAGCAAGGGGATTGCATGAGCCCAGGAGTTCAAGACCAGCCTGGGTAGCACAGCAAGATCTCATCTCTACAAAAAATAAAAATTAGCCAGGCATAGTGGTGCATGCCTATAGTCCCAGCTATGTGGGAGACTGAGGCAGAAGGATTGTGTGAGCCCAGGAGGTCAAGGCTGCTGTCATCATGCCCCTGCACTCCAGCCTGGGTGACAGAGTGAGACCCAACTCAAAAACAACTTTTTTAAAAGGTTACAAAAAGGACTGCTTTGAATCCTATTTCAAACCAGAGCATACACTGTTCCTCTCCTGATCCCTGCCAATTCCTCTAGGCCCACTCTGGCCCTTCCAGAACCGAACTAAGTTTGTCTCACAAAGAGTGTGATCTACTCACCTGAGTTTGAAATGGCTGCTCAGATTCAGAAACAACCTGTGTCTCCAGTTCTTACATGGATTTTATGCTTTTACAGAATGTCAGGAATACAGACAAGGAATATATGTTTAGCTATCCCTTTAACACTCTGATCAACCAGACAACACTAAGTCAGCAGTCTTGAGGACAAGGGATGGTATTGGGTATAGCAAAGAATATTAACCTGATGCTAAGAGTGTCAAATAATCCATAAATATATGCCTGAGGTCATAGGTTAATAAGTAGAATTTCAAAAAGAACCAAGAGGCAGGATGCAGTGGCCCACACCTGTAATCCCAGCACTTTGGGAGGAAGATATGAAAGGACTGCCTGAGTCCAGGGGTTCAAGACTAGCCTGGGCAACTTGGCGAAACCTCATCTCTACAATAAAGCAAAAAAATTAGCCAGGCATGGTGGCGTGCACCTATAGTTCCAGCTGCTTGGAAGGATAAAGCAGAAGGATCACCTGAGCCCAGCAGGTCGAGGCTGCAGTGACTGTGAACATGCTACTGTACTCCAGCCTTGGTGACAAAGTGAGACTTCGGCTAAAAAAAAAAAAAAAAAAAAGAACCAAGAGACTCAAGTCTGGTAGACATTTGGTTCATACCTGTTGGGAACTCTCTATGAATGTCAGTATCTTCATCAGTTACTCTGGATTGTCAGTGGAGCTGACCTGGGTACTCGGACTAGTGTTTTCTAGCAGGTGAGCCACTGTCAGCTGCCTCAAACACCACTGGCTTGTCTCTCTCCCGGCCCACTTGCCCTTCCCTGCCATTAAAGGCTGGATTGTGCCCTTCTTCCAAAATATGTTAAAGTTCTAATCCCTAGTACCACAGAATGTGACTTTATTTGGAAGTAGGGTTGCTGCAGATAGTTAGTTAAGATGAGGTCATATTAGAGTAGGGCAGGCCCCTGATTCAATATGACTAGTGTCCTTATTAAAGAAGACCCATGTGAAGATGGAGGATTGTAGTGATGCACCTACAAGCCAAGGAATGCCAAAGACTGCTAGCATCCAACAGAAGCTGGAAGAGGTGAGAAAGGATTCCCGTATTCACACCCTGCCCATCCCTTGATTTTGAACTTCTAACCTGTAGAACTGTGAGAGAATCAATTTCTGTGACTTAAGCCACCCAGTCTGTGGTACTTTATTATGGCAACCTCTGGAAACTAATACACCTGTCATATTCCAAAAAGAAAGGGAAGAGTGCTTTGGTGCAGACCTTTAAAAGGTTGCCACTGGCAGAACATCACCCTACAAGGGGTAGGCTGAGGCAAGCAATCAGCCCTCAAATCAGGCCTTAGCTGTTCTACTACAGAGGAGATACCCAGGGGTCCCAGTGGGTGCATTACTTACTGGGGCCAGAGTCTAATCCAAGATCTCCTTCCATTGAGTCACGTGGACCCCATGAGTACGGTTGCTCCTCCTGCTTGATCCATGACAAAATGTCATGTGCTGAGATGAGAGACTCTGTTGTCATGGAAAGAAGGCAGTCTTAGATTCTGTTCATTTCCACTTGGCATCCCATCAAAGGTTCAAAAACCATCACATGCAGAGGCTCCAGCTCACAGAGCGTGTGATGATTTAGTATCTATGCTGTGTTTACAGAACATCCTTCTTATCCTCTAAAAAGCCTTCCTAAATGGGATCTCTTTTGCTGCTCACTACATCTCAAGTTGGCCAAAGAGGAGAAGGCTCAGCCCAAAGTCTGTATAGCAGAAGAATCAGCATTAAAACCCAGGTCTTCTGACTCTGTCCACTGAGCCCCAGAGGAACTCATGGGGCCAGGATAGGCCACAGGAAAGCCCCAACTCTCACGGCCCACAGGTCCATGGCTGATTAGTAAGACTCAGACATCAGTGATGGCAGAGGCAGTGACCAGAGGTCATTGATAAGAACCACAGAGAAGTCTGGCAACTCTTCACTAGGAAGGCTCTGCTTCCCCTCTGCCCTGGGTCTCCTCAATTTCTCTGTTGTAAAGCCAACAAACTGCAAGGAATCCTAGGTTCAACTTCTCATTTTCTCTTCCTGGTATGAGGGAGTGCAATGAGATTTGTGTCATAACTACCAGAAAGATAACATTGAACTTTTCCAGTTCTGCAAATGTACACAAATGCACACACAACTCCCAGGCAGGTGGAGCTTCCCTGTTGTTCTTTTATATTTCCCTGAATGCCCAGGTCCTCCCCAGAGATTTCTTGGGAGTCACACCCGACGATTATTCACTCAAGAAATATTCTAGAAAACATAAATGACTTTTTGACCCAGAAATATTCAGCTTTTAGAAACTTTTTGGTTTTTATTGTTCAAAAATCAGTGCTAACATCATGCTAGTATCAATTCCATTGACACAAGAAATTATCAACTTAATGATTCCTTTTGAGAAGTGCTGATTATGCTCAATATTCAATCTGACATTGTTCTCACCTGAATTGGGGTCTGTGGGAATATCTCTGTCTGCCAAATCCTGCTGATCCCACACACACTGGTGCTCTTCCTGTTTAATCCGAGACAAGAGGTCCTGGGCAGAAATCGGCGAGTCTACTTGTGAGAACAAGCATAGCAAAGGCATTAGAAGACATGAAATTGCCTGTTTTGAATAAATCTCTTTCATGCAATGATCTCTTTCCCCTAAATATCAGGTTTATTTAAACAAGTCTTATTAACTCAAGGTTTTACATCAGTTAGGCCCCAATTAATAAAGCTTTTGCTGCACGTAAGTGGATACCCTAGGGGAGCGACATTCAGATGACTCTAAGATAGTCTTTCTGTGCTGCAGGAACTTCAATCTCCTCAGAATGAGGTTCCCATTCTAGTGCTGAGACCACCATGGAAAGAGATATTCCTCATGAGAGGATTTTTTTAGGAAGCCAACACCTTCCAGAAGCCTTTTTTAAAAAAGTTATATATTGATAAATTATAGCTGTATATATTTATGGGGTGCAAAGTAATGTTACAAGAAGCCTTTGAGTCATTTGAACATGATTTTTCTAAAATATAAGAAAAAGATACTACATTTTCTTTCTCCAAGAATCTATTAAACCTAATTTACCCTTTATTGCTGTCTTATCTCTTAAAGACCTCCTACAAGATAGTAATACTGTGATGCTTTCAAGGAACATGCCTGGTGACAAGTGAATGGGCCATCCTCTACCCAAGTACTATTTTTACTTACCTATGGGTTTGAGGCTTTGACTAAGGGGGGGTGAGGTTTGTGGAGTTCTAACCTGTGAATAAGTAAAGAGCTACAGTATGTTAATATATCTTGTGATGGTTAACTTTATGTGTCAACTTGGCTTGGCCATGGTACCCAGATATTTGGTCAAACATTATTTAAATGTTTCTATGAAGGCATTTTTTAGATGCAATTAACATTTAAATTAGCAGACTTTGAGTAATGAGGATTACCCTCCATAATGTAGATGGGCCTCATCCAACCAGATGAAGGCCTAATAGAAGAAGACTTGACTTCCCCCAAGGCAGATGGAACTCTGCCTTCAGATTCGAGCTGCAACATCAGTTCTTCCCTGGGTCTCCAACCTGCCAGGCTGCACTGTATATTTTGAACTTGCTAGTCTCCATAATCACAGGAGCCAATTCCTTAAAGGAAAATAAATCTCCCTCTCTTTCGACATACACACACACCCTTACTGGTCCTGTTGTTTCTCTGGAGAACTCCGACTAATCCACACAGAGTTCTCAACTACAGCCAGAGTTCAGCTGGAATACCATCTAAGAGGAACTCCCCCACAGGACTGCAGGCATGCCAATGCCTGGCACAGAGGTGGCAGACCATAAATACTTGTTTAAAACAATGAAAGTCCTCTGGGTCAGGGAGCAGGTCTTGGTGACCTATCTGCTCCCCTGCATAAAGTCTCATAAAGTGCCTTACACTTAGTCCTTTTTCATTGATATTGTTTTTAAAGGGGAGGAAGGAGTAGTTAAAGACTGATAATACAAAGAAGAGAAAAAACAGACCAAGCTGAACCCACGTGTACCAGCAAATCAGCAGTGCCATATGCCACATTTGTATCCCCTGGAAGAATCCTGCCTCAGTCCAGTCCTGTAGCCACAGCCCTCCCATTTCTAGCTCAGCCCTCTGACCTGACAGACAACTCAGGAGGCCTGCAGACCAAGCTGAGCCTTTCCTCTCCCCTCCCTGGTTTGGGTGGCTATCCGGTCTTACTCACCGGTAATGGATTCCGTTGGGATGGCTCTTTCCTCCAGGCCCCGCTGACCTCGGACACACAGGGCTTCCTCACGTTTCACCTGGGAGGACGCATCCTGTGCAGGCACCAGGGGCTCTGCTCCTGGGAACAGAGAATCACATTTCTTGGTGTCTTTTTTCTGCAGGGTGGTCACCAGGACGTTCTGGGCTCAGGAACATGACAGACAGCACTTGCCAGGGGAAAGTACAGGGGTCTCGGGTTCCGGGTGGAGTCATGAGGGACCCTGAGGAACAGAAGGTCCCAGGAGCAGAGATGCAATCAACATCAAGAAAAAGGGATAGGCAAACTGCAAAATGAGGTGTGTTAAGACTGGAAAGAGAATTTAGAAATAATCCCACACTGCATAACTAGAGGGGTGCTAATCAGGACTGGGCCACAAGTTTGACTTCTCTGTGGGAGTCATTAGTCCTTGTTTTTCATACCAGTCGGGAACAGATACACATCTGTGAATATATATGACTACAAAGTCAGGCTGGGCGAAGAGGCACAACTAAGCTCTATTCTTGGATGGATAATGTACTGTATCCTCATACAATCAGCCTCACTTAATGTTGATAGGTTCTTGGAAATTGTAACTTTAAGGGAAATGACATATGGCAGGTCCTTGTCACCTCCTGCAATGTTTTATTACAACACTGATGGGAAAAAATGGTTGTATTATACATCATTTCTCTTAAAGTCATCGTTTCTAAGACCCTATTGATGACATTAAGTGTCTAGGACTTACTGTACATGAAAGATAACAACATAACCTCTACATAGAACCTCAACACAGGACTGATTTCCTACTTCCTTCTCCTCCTCTCTTTCTTTCCTCCCTCCCCTCTCCTTCTTTCATTCTTTTTTTGAGTCAGTGTCTCACTCTGTTACCCAGGTTGGAGTGCAGTGGCATAATCATAGCTCACTGCAGTCTTGACCTTCTGGGTCCAGGTGATCCTTCCACCTCAGCCCTTTAAGTATCTTGGAGTACAGGCAAGAACCACCATGCCCAAATAATTTTTAAATTTTTTTTTAGAGACGAGGTCTCACTATGTTGCCCAGGTTAGTCTCAAACTCCTGGGTTCAAGCCTCAGCCTCCCAAAGTGCTAGGATTACAGACATGAGTCATCGCACCTGGTCTGGGTCTTTCTTTCTTATGGTGTTCCTGGTGCAGTACGCTAACTCCTGGCAGGATGCAACTCAGGCAACAGGAAAGAGATTAGGTGAAGAATCTGAAGACTGGGATCCTGGTTCCAACTGTGCTACCAATGCACAGTTGGTAGCACAGTGGATAAGTCTTTCAACCTCTCTGGGTACTGGTGTATTCTTTTCTGATAATCCACTCACCTCAGCCTCCCAAGGCACAAGATTACAGGCTGAGCCACCGAGCCCAGCTGAGAGCTACTTTCTAAGAGAAGTTTAAGTGAAAATGCTCTCCACTTAAAAACAAGGAAGGGCAGAGGTGAAAATTCATCCGAACAGGCATAAAATACAGTTCAAGCACCAGGTTTTACCTAGTCCAACACTGCTGAGGAGAGCTGAGGCCCCAAGGAAAGATTTCCAGGGCAGAGCTGGGACTCGAACCCTAATACATTCCACCCCGATGAAAGCTCATCAAGTGTAATGTCCTCAAGGAACTGGATATCGTCAGGACTTAAGATTCCTTCTTGAATGAGGAAAAAGCCTTGTAGAGTGAGTCTGTATGTGAGGCGTGTGTGTCAGTGTAAGAATGAGGTGATGATATTGCAGATTAAATCCGAACAATAAGCAGTGAGTCAGATCAAGACCCTGCATCCATTGCAGACTCCTTTTCACCTCCTCTGCTAACCTCCCTGAGTCTGGGCCTGGGTCCTTCAGCCGCTCACCTAAGTGAGGGCCTCGCTCTGTGGGTCCCCATCAGGCCTAGGAGGTATCGCACATCTAAGTCTTTTCTCATCTCTCCAACCAGCTTGCCTGTGAGTTCAGAGCTATGTGGCTTTAACAAACCGAAAGACAAATCTCCGTGGTGATTTCAGGCCCTGAGATCTCTTCCTGTAAGTGACCACTAAATTCCACTTACAGCCGAACTGGCCCCTGGGAGAAATTCAAGAGACGCCCCCTCTGGAACACATGCAGTAGTGCCTCCCAATGGCAGCATGCAGGCCTTCCAGCTCTCCTCTCCTGCCTTTCCCTGGACTTTGCACTCTCTTCAGCTGCCATCACCTGTGTCTGGAGCCACTGGGATTTCTCTCTCTTCAGTGTGGCGTTGCTCCCACACACAAGGCTCTTCTCTGGGCTCAACCTGGGCTGGGGCATCTGGCTTGGGCACTGGGCCCTCTGCGTCTGGAAGTGAGTTGGAAGGAGGGGAAGACTGAGTGAATGGACCGATGCATTCAGATCACGAGTAACAGGTGACGACCCGTCTGCCATCCCAACGCTCCATCTCTACCTGAGTGTCCCTCTACGTGGCAGCAGTTATTCAAGTAAGGTAGGTAATCTTTGATGAGGAACCTTGAAAGCAAGTCAGTGGGTTCCCAAATTTCTAGTATAGAAAGAACTGCTGTCTGAAAGACAACATCCGACCAACCATGGCTTACCCCCAGGCTACTGGGATGTAGTATATAGTGAGGTGTGAATGATGCTAGTTTACTGTCTTCCAAAACAGTGGTGGTATAACATGAAATTCTGTGGTGATAAGTCCTGTTACTGGGTTTTTAATTTTTATCCTGCTACGAATTGTTCTATTTTACTAGCATTATAAGCAAATAGTTTTTTGAGTTTCCATTAGGTACAAACATGAAACAACTTGCCCAGGTGATGGTAACATGGCTTAATAAGCATTTCCCGACCCTCTCCAGAGACTGTTCACCAAAGAGGAGAGAAGGTGTCCTTACCCAGGGACATCAGAGTTTTGTAGTTCTCCTTGACAAGGTTGTTATAAAGCTCCTTCTGCCATTCATCCAAGTTCTTCCACTCATCTTCAGAGAAGTAAACAGCAATGTCGACAAAAGTCACTGGAACCTGAGACAACAAGAGTTTTCGTCTGGTGCCTCTGGCTTGCTGCCCCGCCCGCCCCCCCCCCACCCCACACACACACCTGTGGGCCACAGGACCCGCTCTTGGCCTTGCTCCTCCTGGCTCCCCAGTCCCCAAACTCCCAATTCCAGCCCACATCAGTCCACCTCAGTGGAGTCAGTCCTCTCTGTCCCTGACCTTTTGAACTTTCAATAATGATGGTCGACACTGCCTTTTTAAAAAGCGTTTAACCAAATCCTTTTCTATGTCACTTTGAGGTCAACCGGATACCTTAAGGGAAAGTGCAGTTAATGTGCTTCTTTCATCATGCAGGGTGACAGCACGGTGGTAGGTTCTCAGAGTGGGTATCAGTGAGCCAAGGACAGTAAAACCCTGTCATCAAACCTGTATTTCAAGTCAGCTCAGCAGCTCTGTGTATACAACTGCATTTTTGTCAGTAAAGCATGTAAAATCTGCAGGCATGTGTGAAAGCTCCAGAACCTTGGTCTGCTTTGTTCACTGCTATATCTTAAGCATGGAGGAACACACAGGTGAATCAATAAACACTTGTCAAACGTGTCGAGCTGTGGGTGACAACACCAGGAAGTTCCACTGTAGCCTGAGTCATTGCCTGATGTCAGCCACTTGTCAGTCAAGGTGTTACATAAAGCTGTTATTTCGGCATGACAAGGACCCTCATCTACACTCACTTCAGCCACTCACCAGCAGCCTCACCTTGGACAGAATTGTTCAAAATGGTTTCACTTTTATGACTTTAATAGTTGAACTTCCTTCTTGGGCCCCACAGGCTTCCCACTTAGCACTTTCACATCCTTCCTGAACCAGCCTTTCGCTCTCAGTCTGAAATTTAGCTCCTCAATTCTTCCCCATCCCCTCATCCCAGTCCACTCGTCTTCCTACCTGCATTTATAGGGCCAAAGTTGGCCTGTACGGCACTGGGGTGTAAATTAGAGAAAGAGCAGAGTTAGGCACACAGCATGGTGAGTGGGCAGCACCTGTTCATAAATTAGAAATATCAGCCCCTGGATTCTGTGCACACAATTCTAATGGCGCCTAGACTTTTCACTCTCCAGACCCTTAACTGACCTTCCCCACCTGTCTTTGAACTCGGGGAGACATTGCAAGTTCCTTCCCTGCCCTTCTTCTTCTCGCCAAGCCAAACCTGCCAATATGTGCCTTTCATTTCTCTTCCATCTCCTGCCTGCAAAACTGAATCCAAACAATCTTTTCTCTTTTGCATCTGCAGTTTCTCCCTCTCCACTGGCTCTTTCCCTTCAAGGTCATCCCAACCTCAGAAAAACCTTCGCTCAACTCTGCTACCCTCACCCTTCACAGGAAACATTCTGAAAGACATGCTCTTTTTTCTTCTCCACAACCTGTGCATACTTTAACCCCTTAAAAATCTGCCTCTGTAAATACCCTCTACTCTCTGAAACCACACCCTGGAAGATCAGCAGTGACCTTCTGTCAAAATCTTCACTGGTTCTGACTTCTTTGAAAGGTCAGATTACCTTTCTAGAATTTTCTCCTGTGTGGCTCCCATAACTATGTCACCTCCTGTCCATTTGACTCATGTCTTCTTGATTTTTTCCTCTTCCTCCCCCAAGGCCAAGACTCTGTTCTTACCCTTCTCTGTTTCTTCACTTTTCCCTTTGCAGTTTCATTCTTTTCACTCCAGTTATTACCACTTTGCAGTTAATACTCTTCAACTTTTCCTGCTCCCTTCGAACTTCAGTGCCTCCCGAGTAGCCCCATTTACTCATCTTTAAGAGCCTCAAACTAAATGTATCTAAAGCTAGATTCATTATCTTTTCCAACATACCAACTCCTCTGCCTCACTTCACCATTTCTGAGGATCAAAACTCTGGGGTCATATTCTCACAGTTAGAGACAGACATTACTTTATTTTATTTATTTTAATTTTCTATTTTTTGAGTTGGAGTCTCAGTCTGTTGCCCAGGCTAGAGTGCAGTGGTATGCTCACAGTCACTCCAGCCTCCACCTGCCAGGCTCCGGCGATCCTTCAGCCTCCGCCTTCCAAGTAGCCAGAACTTGACAGGCACGTGCTGCCACGCCCAGCTAATTTTTTTTTTAATTGTAGAGATGAGGTCTCACCATGTTGCCCAGGCTGGTCTCGAACCCATGGGCTCAGGCAAACCTCTCGCCTTGGCCTCCCAAAGTGCTGGGATTACAGGCTGAGCCACTGAGTCTGGCCAACGTAACTTTTAAAAAACTCCACTGTGACAGGATACAGCAGAAGTTGATGATACGGCCTGAGACTGCAGGGAGCTGTAGTCTAGCTGGATAGATGAGATGACCCATGAATGAGCTATGGATCAGTTAGCAGACACTAAAGAATCCAGCAGGCACAAAGGATCTGGAGACAGTATCCATGCTTGACTCTAACAGAATAAGAGAATGCATCTAGTATGCCCAAGAGTACACAAATAATAACTGTTGCCAGCAGCATTAATCAGCATTCTCATGATGCTTTATGTTTGTAGTGGTCTTAAAATATGTCCACAAATTCTTTTGACAGTCCTTTAATAGGTAGAGCCTAATTTTCTTCCCCTTGAGTAGGAGCAGGATTTGGTGACTTGCTTTTTTTTTTTTTTTTTTTGAGTCAAAGTCTCACTCTGTCACCTGGGCTGGCTGGAGAGCAATAGCAGGCTCACAGCTACTGCAGCCTCAACCTGCTCGGCTCAGGCAATCCTTTTGCCTTAGCCTTCTAAGTACCTGGAACTACAGGCATGTATCCACCCATCTGGCTAATTTTTAAGTTTATTGTAGAGATGAGGTCTTGCTATGTTGCCCAGGCAGGTCTCGAACCCCTGGGCTCAGGCAATCCTCTTGCCGCCACCTCCTAAAGTACTGAAGTTACAGGCATGTGCCCCTGTACCCAGCCTAGTGACTTGCTTCTAACAAATCAATAAAGATGTGACAGTGTAGAACTTCTGAGACAAAGTCATAAAAGATACTGCAGCTTCCACCTTGGTCTCTCTCAGCTCACTCCCTCTGGGGGCTGTTGGCTGCTATGTTATGAGAATGCTCAAGCAGCCCTATAGGGAGATCCACATGGCGAGGAACTGAGGCCTCCTGCCAACTGCAAAATGAGTGAGCTATCTTGGAAGCAGGCCCTCCGGCTGCAGTCAAGCCTTCAGATGTGACTGGTGCCCTAGTCAATAGCTTGACTGTAACTTCAGGGACTCTGAGTCAGAATTTCTCAGATAAGCTGCTTCTTAATTTCTCACGCACAGAAACAGTAAGATGACAATTTTTTTTAAGCTGTTACATTTTGGGGTAATTTGTTACACAACAGGTAACTAACACAATGATCTACATAGTATTTTCCAATAATTAAAATCTATTAATCCTCACAACTCCATAAAATAAGCATATATTATCATCTTTATTTTACAGATAAAAACACTGAAACTCAGAGGAACCAACTGGGAATTTGCTTAATTATTTAAACTTAACTTCTTTCAAAAGAGGAATTGAGGAGGCTCAGAGAGACAACTAAAAACATATTTGACCAACAGCAGGAAAATCAATACATGGCAAAGTCAAGATTCAAAGTCAAGTCCACTGATTCCAGAGCCCCATACCATTTCATTTCTCCATAAAGACACATGTCTACTCAAGACTCTTCTAACACCTAATCCAATGCACAGAGCACATAACAGTGCCACACAAGGAGACAGGACTGAGTTAAAAAATATGCAGTACAGACAACAGAAAAGAGCAGGTAAGTAGATGCTGTCTGTGCTAGACAAGCAACATATGCAAAATCACACTAAAAACTGGTTGCTGTGGGCTGCAGTGCCAGGGAATGTTTTGTGGAGGAACCAAAGACGTGATTACAACTCAATTCTGTGAAGCCTCAATAAATAAATGTCAAACAACTTCACTGGCAAAGTCATTGGGTCGGTTGCCTCAGGAGATACAGAGACATGTAAGACCTGGTCCCTGCCATGAAGCTGCCAGCACCCCAGTTGGAGAAAGTCACTTGGCAATTATTTTTTGCATACCGACTCTAAGCCAGGTACTGTTTTAGGCACAGGGACACAGCAGTGAACCAAGCAGAATTTACACTTTGGTAGGAGAAAACCGACCAAGAAAACAAAAAAAAGAATATTATCTTAAATATTTAAGATGCCAATGGCATAAGTGCTTTTGAGAAAATCAGAGCAGAGTGTCCTGGGAAGACATGGTTCTTTTACGTAGGGTGGCCGTGGAAGGGCACACTGATAAAGTGACATCAGTGAGCAGACACTGATGGAATCGCGGGGGGGTGGGGGGAGATCCTCGGGAGCTTCTCAGTGGAGAGTTGCTGGGGTGGGGACACATGTGGCATAGTGGCAGAACAGCACTGAAGGGAGTGGGCATGAGGGAGTGGAGTAGAGATGAGGTCAGAGAGACAGGGGAAGAGAGTAAGGTCATAGACAAAACTTGGGCTTTTATTCTGAATCAGATGGGAAGCCATCTGGGAGATTTAAGCAGAGGTGTAATGTAACTGACATACACTTTATTTATTTATATTTTGAGTTGGAGTCTCACTGTGTCGCCTAGGCTGGGGTGGAACACTCATGGCCACCCCAGCGTCAACCTGTTGGGTTCAGGCAATTCTTCCTCAGCCTTCCAAGTAGTCAGAACTACAGGGGCGTACTACCACTCTCGGCTTAATTTTTTGATTTATTGTAGAGACAAGATCTCACCAAGTTGCCCAGGCTGGTCTCAAACTCCTGGGCTCAGGCAATCCTCTCACCTAGGCCTCCCAAAGTGCTGACTTACACTTTAAAGGGATCACTCTGACTTTTTGCTGAGAACACATTGTGTGGGTCGGGGGACAAAGACAGAGACAAGGAGACTCGGCCCATCAGGAGGCCATGGCTGGGACAAGACAGTGACAATAGGGCGGAAGTAGTAGAGGGTAGTCAGATCTTGATATATTTTGAAGAAAAATCATATGGTATTTACTAACATATTGGAAGCAGGGTGTGAGAAAGAGAGGAGACAAGTATGACTCCAAGGTTTTGGCCTGAGCACCTGAAAGAATAGAATTGTCATCAATGGGCAATGACAGTGAGGAAGACTTCAGGTAGAACAGGTTTCAGGTAGGAGATCCAGAGTTCAGTTTGTTTATGTTAAATCTAAGATATTTACTGACACCCAAATGAATTAATATGAGAAATGTGAATCTGGTATTCAAGTAGGAAGTCTGGGCAAGATAGAGAGAAAGTAGGAGAAAAAGAATCTATTTGGGAGGTAAGAGCATGCAGATTGCACTTAAAACCATGAGACTTGATGAAGTCATGAAGGAGGGGAAAGAGCAAAAGGCCAAGACAGAGCCCGGGTCTACTCCAAACACCGAGTTGGCAAAAGAAGGTAAAACCAGCAAAGACTGAGATGAAGCAGCTAGTGAAGTAAGAAAAGAATCAACAGAAGAGGTGTCCTGGAAGCCATGTAAAAAGAGGTTTCAAGGAGGGAGTCGTCACCTGCATATGGTGCTACTCACACGGCAATGAAGATGAAGACTGAGAAGCAACCATTGGGTGTAACAACACAGATATCATTAGGGAACAAAGGCCTGATCAGTGTGGGTGGCAGAGAGAACAATCCAGTTACCACTCTACTGGAATACTGAGAATAGAGGAACACGTTAAGTGAGACTGTGAGGGGATGCAATCAGCAGAACCCAGACAGTGAGATGCTCAACAGGACAGATGGTCAATTTCTTTCACATAAATATTGAAAGGAAAAATAAGAGATGGAAGAAAAGCCTATAGATTGAAAATAACATAAGAGACATCTCAGTCACAATGTGTGCACCTTATCTAAATTCTAACTCAAACAAAATCTTTTTTAAAAAGGAAACAATTGAAAATTTGAATACCAACTGGGTATTTGAGTAGGTTGAAGCTTTTACTCTGGTGGTAATGACATTGAGGTTACTATTTTTTTAATATGCTTAGCTTTTAGGGCTAATACTGAAATATTTACAAATAAAATTATTAATGCTGGATTTGCTTCAAAATAAGATGAGAGAGGGGAAGTGGGTAGGGATTTAGGTAAAGCAAGACTGGCCAAGAGTTGATAACCGTTGAAGCTGGATGACGGGTGCACGGGTGTTCATTACACTTTCCTATCTTCTTTGTCTATTTTTGAATATTTTAGAATAAAAGGAGAAAAGGGCAAGGAGAAGAGAGAAGATAGAGAAGAAAGAATTGGAGATAACAAGTATAGACAATTCTTTTAAGGAATTCTGTCTGAAGAGGAGCAGAGATATGAAGCCTAGTGGAGGGAAACTCAGGTTAGAGGGTTGTTACAGAGATGGGCAGTGTGACAAATGCTCACATGCTGGTGGAATGACCAGCAGAGAGGGGAGAGCTGATGATGCAGAGAAAAGAGACACCCGGGTGACCTCTAGAAGAAGGGGAAAGAGAGCAGATGCTGAGCCACAGCAATGAGGGAAGGCAAAGTCTGTGGGCGCCAGGCAGCAGATGGATGACCAAGCTGGCTACACGTGGAGGCCTCTTTTGGGTGACTTCATTCGTTGAGTGAAGTGGGAAAGTATTGTTGATCTGGGAGGAGAGGGGGAGAGCAAATGGGAGACTGGTTTCTGAACTTCAAGAAGGGACCACTCTAGGTTAGTGATCATTACTTGAAAGCAATTCCAGTCAGTGTGGTTTGGGGTCCACCTCCATCCATGTTCAAATGAGCATATACAAAGATAGCCAATGACAGATGGTCACTGGTGGGTGGCAAGTCAGAAAACCAAGGAGTGAAGTGCTGCAGGAATTTGTGGACAATCAGACAACTGGGAAGGGAAGGGAAGGACTAGGAATGGACAGAGCAAAGGCTCCAAGACAGAAACATGCAGACTCTGTGGGGAACAAATGGAGGCCAGCGAACACTCAAGACCAAGCTTTAAGAAGACACTGAAGCCGGGCGCAGTGGCTCATACCTGTAATCCTAGCACTTTGGGATGTGAAGGTGAGGGGATTGCCTGAGCTCACAGGTTCGAGACCAGCCTGGGCAACTTGGTGAGACCTCGTCTCTACAATAAATCCAAAAATTAGCCGGGTGTGGTGGCACGTGCCTGTAGTCCCAGTTACTTGGAAGGCTGAGGCGGAAGGATCCCCTGAGTACAGCAGGTTGAGGCTGCAGAGGCAGTGAGCATGCCACTGCATTCTAGTCTGGGCGACAGAGTGAAAGTCCTACTCAAAAATTAAAAAAAAAGAAAAGACGACACTGAAATTAGACAACAGGGAGCCAGAAAAGTTTGTGAGGACTGACAAAATAAAATCAAGAGTTTTGTTCACCTGTGTGCTGTTCCTTACTTCCATCCCTGCCAATGGGGACCACCACATACCTTGGGGGCCTCCCCCTTGCTGCCCGGGGGCAGCCGTAAGACCCAGAAGTTCCTGTTGCGCAGCAGGTTCTCCAAGTTCTCCAGCCGCCTCTGCAGCAGCCCGTACTCCTGCAGCAGAGTCCCCAGCACAGCCCACTTGCTCTCCATGTGATTCCCGAACTCCACAGCCGTCTTCTCGCAGTCGGCCAGCTTCTTCTCAGCAGTCCCAGTACGTCCCTCCAGGTTCAACAGTTGGCTGGCCTGGGCATCCACCTTTCTCTCCACAGCCTGAATGGCAGCTACCACGGTCCAGAGAGAGATCTCTGCTGTGGGCAACTGGGGCTCTCGCATCATGCGGTCAGGGAAAACAGGTGCCCTATCTGGGAAGGGCGGAAACTGAAAAGGCATTGGCCGCCGGGCATCCATGTCCCATTCCTGAGCCTGTGTGCAGAGGGAGAAAGTGACATCCTGGGATGAAACCTTGTGTGAGGGGGCAAGGTGGCCTAAGAACAGGGAGCGACTGATTGAATGCTACAGGTTATCTTTCTTCTACCAAGATCCCATCCCTCAGGCTATGGTGCTCACTAATGCCCCCAGCAGCAACTAAGCAGTTCCCTGCTCTGGCAAATAACCACTCTCCCATCTCCTATCCATGGAAGTCAGATTGCTCACGAGTTCATTCACCCTGACCCTTAGCAAGTCATGGCTGTAACCCCTGGCTAAAATGTCACTGATTACCTTCTTTGTTTTTTTATTTTTTATTTTCTTTATTTTAAGATGACAGCACGGACTGATAGCTGATTCTCCTTCCCACTTGGGACAATTCAGGATTAGATATACAAGCGGTCATCGGACAAGTAAAGTTTAGGCCTCCCTTTGCTTCCCACTTACTTTCTTTGAATAGAACAGTTGCTTTCTTCCAGGGATAGACTTATTGACAAACATCATATTTGCCTTTTTTTGTTTGTTTCAAAGTAAGAACTTTCATGTAAGTTTTCTGACCCTAATCCCAACAATCTCTCAGCAGATGAGGGCAAGAATGATGATCTCTGCTTTAAAGATGATGACACCAAGACACAGAGAAGCAGCCTGGTGTTCTGCAGTGCTTCCCCGCACTGCCAGCTGGAGCAGCTCTAAGGTGCTGCAAGTAACAGCACCTTAGAACACACCTGGGGTCAGTGCTGATGCCATTATTCCTACCAGAGCTGCAGAGGGACCAGAGAGCTTAAGCTGGAGGGTCAGACAAGAAGTTTTCACCCCATATACAACTATTATCTCATAAATATTTTTCAAGATGAAGGCAGGTTTACCAAAATATGCCACTCATTGGAAGGGAAGAAGGGACATAGCTTCCCTAAGAGAAAGAAAGAGAAATACACCCCTGGACCACTCCTCCCTGGGAAAGGGGTGTCCCATGGCCTGGGGCTTCCCCTCTTATATTCCAGCACAGGGCCCTCACCCCAGAAGGGGAGGTGGGTAGATGAGGTTGGAAGCAGTCCGATGGCCAAGAGGAGGGTTGAGGGTAGTCACAGTTCATTGGTCATCTGGGACTTGGTGTCAGACTGTTCAGCACCAGGGCTCACTGGATGACAGCACGGACTGATAGCTGATTCTCCTTCCCACTTGGGACACGATGAGGTGTTGCTTTCTGTCCTCCTTGAGGCTGCTGAAGAGGCCCTCAGGCTAGGAAAAGTGGAGACTTGCTGCTTGAGGTGCTCTGGGCAAGCCAATGACAAGCGTGCCAGTTACCCTCTCTGACTCAGAGCAGCTGCAACAGCCACGGAGGAGAACCCCACAACTTCCTGAGACTTGCTCCAGGACATGGAAGAGTGGAGAGCAGGGCCCTAGCAATGCCAGACCCTGCTAAGTAAGTGGTGGTATATGGAGACTTCACTCAGGCCCACTGAAAGGGACAGGGCTGACAGTGGAAATTTAGAGAGCCACAGGGCCCAGTTTAGTTTTTTCAGGTTTGAAGACCTAAAGATGAAAGAAAAATGATAAAACACAACACAGTAGCTTCCGGCTAACTTGTGTTAACACTTGGCCAAGAACAGGTGGTGAGCAGAGGGGGACTCTGAGGAGTACAACCCTGTGGTCAGCTCAGAGACCCTCCCCTGGGGAAGCTCTCAGTCCTTTGCAGGACCCACCTCCCCTTGTTCTGTATCCAACTCTGGGGCACTGGTTTTCAGATTCGTCTGCACACTGATCACTGAGCCTTAAGAAATGCCTGGTGCCAGCTCTCACCCCCCGCCCAGGCCCTGAGTGAGCTGCTTTGGGCCGAGGCTAGGGCATTCCGAGTCGTAAAAGCTGCTCCGGCGATTCCAACGTGCAGCCAAGTTTGCCAACCCCTGAAAGACAACAGTCACCTCTCCCCGCCCCTTCCCCAGGTCACAGCCGGTGCAGGGGGAAAGTGTACGCGTTGTACTTGGGGAGGGACGGCAATAAAACGTTTTGGAAATCTCTTCGTCAGACTGCTCACAGCGGAAGCAGCGACGAGGCATTCATTCCGTGGCAGCGCAGGAGGGCTGCCGGCAGAGCCTTCCGCCGGCCGCGCGCGAAGGGAGCCCGGGCCGGGGCT